TTTGATATTATCGAGCCGTGAAATTTTTCTTCTACCAATTCCTCTTCGTCCTTCGATTTTCCCTTGTATCAAAAGTTGTAACAAATCGTATTTGCTTCCTCTTATAATATGTCCGAAATATGCGACTTTTCTTTTTTTAATATCTTTTCGTATTCCTCTGGTAGTTTGCGCCATGTTTAACACAGTGTCATTAGACATCTTGTCAGTCCAAATTATTTTTACCATTTGCCTATAGCACCATATTTCGAATGCTTCCAGGCGGTTTATACTCGGGGCTCTCAGGGTCCAAACTTCACACCCATATAATAGTGTCGACCATACGTAGCATTTAAGAAATCTCGTCTATAACCTTATTGGCACGTCCCGATTTGTCAGTAGCTTCTTAATTGTCATGAATGCAGCTCTCGCTACTTCAATCTTGCGTTTTATTTCACAATCATGGTCCCATCGGTCGTTTAGCCAGAGCCCCAGGTATTTATATTTTTCCACCCTTTCTATGTTTTTATTATCTATTATTAGTCTCACATTGGAATAGTCTTTATTGCTCTTATTTCGTCAATGTTTATATTTAGCCCAAAAGATTTGCTGTAATTTTCTACTTTGTCAATAATTCTTTGAAGATCGTGCAGATTATTTGTCACTATTCAGTTAGGTTCCGTATTATTTATTAATAAAGACAAGTCGGGTTATATTATTAATATGTGTTTATTACTTCAGGCTGACCCATGTTGTGTGCTTCTGCTACGACACTTGCTATACCACTGACTTACACAAGCAGTGGTCGCGTTCATAAGACGTAGCTGTTTAGCTCATCTGCTACGAAACTGCTGGCAACTGTTGAACCCAACAATTACGTCTTAAAAACGGCTTGATGAATATGCTGCAAAATGAACAGCTGTTAAATGTAAACAAATGAAATTGCAACAGATAGAGATAGTTGCGCCGATACTATTTAGAATTCAACGCTGAGCGGCCGCCGTGTTGAAAAAATCGTTCAATGTTACAATGATTCAAACAGTGTAAAATTATATAGCAAACATCTTAAAAACATATATTTAGAAACGTAGTATTATTAAATATTTTAGTTACTTATTATAAAATATTTTAGTTACCTGCCAGAATTTTGCTTTCGTTGGTGCAGCGAAATGGTAGAAAACTTAAAAAATGTATGATTTTGCATTTGTTTTCTTACTTTTTGGCGGCTAGACACTAATTTTAAACAATCTGTATTAATTTCAAGCAGTTCTAACGTCGTGAATAGTAAACACAAGCTCGAAAGTCTGGTTTTAGATATGAAAGAAAATCCCTATCCGCTGTTGGCACGATCTCTGAAAACAAAATCATGGAGCTGTTTATAGTTTTAATATATTTTAAATAGATTTGGATCACAAAATTTCTTAAATATATTGTATGTCAAAATATATTCGTAAGACTGCACTTAAACTCTCACGTTTTCTGCTCTTGGCCAGTTTTTTACCATGCTTTTATAAACTCGCTTTCTTTATTTCATTTTAATTTGCACAAATTTACATATGTACATATGTATAAGCACACTATTTAGTTTGCTCGATCTGTAAACAAAGCTTCTCAGCGGTGAAAACATACTATTGTGAACAACCTAAACGAGCGAAATTCACAATAGCGCTATTCTTCATCGAATGAGTGCCATAATACCAAATGAAAATTCGTTCGATCAGCACTTTCGACCACAGTCAAAGATCGAATGCAACTCCTAATAGGGGCCATACATATACATCTTGAACTTGGATGCCATGCTGATCATGACATCCTTCTTTCCAAAGTGCTAGACGCAATATTTTTGTTTACTTATATTTATACATAATCTTTTAAATACAATGGTCGATTAACCTTTCTTCCACCCTTTGTACTAATTATATTATCATGGCTTTGGACAACTTCATTTCTCCCATTACCTGCACTTATTTCCTTAAAGTTAAAATTGTGACTTTAAATATTTCATTAAAATCTCTCTTATCATTATTGTAATCTTCTTTCGGTCTTGTATTACAATTTACTTTTACATTCTTGTTTTTTCTTACAGCACCAAATAAATGCTTTCTGTTTCTTTCTATTGTATTATTGTTGTTTAACTTAACTTCAAAAGATTTTGGCCTACTACAAATGTTTGTTATCTTTGCTGGTTCTAATGGCTTATTTAATACTTTGCGAATATAAAGTTTATTACCTATTTTTAGATTTTTTAAATTGTGAGCTCCTTTATCATAGTATTTCTTTTGCTTTAATTGTCTGATAGTTAATTTAGCTTTTATTTCCGAGTTTTCTTTCTCGTTTTTCATATCAACAGGTGTAAGTAGAAGACCTCTTATTTTTCTCTTATACATTATTTTATTCGGCGAAGGTAAGCCATCACCTATGGGAGTATTTCTGTACTCCAGGAGTGCCAATGGAGGATCTTTAGATGGTTCTTCATCAAGCTTTTTGAACATTTTTTTTACAGTCCCAATATGCCTTTCCACCATGCCATTACTCTGAGAGTGTTTCGGACTCGAGGTAACTCATCTAAAATTGCAGTCATTCGCAAATTTTCTTATTTCCAGACTATCTAGCTGTGTGCCCGGATCAGAGTAAATTAAAAACGGTATCCCAAATCTGGAAAATTGCGATTTGAGAGCAGCTATTACACATTCACTTGATATACTATTTATTTTTGCAACTTATACGTATTTACTGAAGTAGTCAACAGTTAACAACCAATTTGAATTTTTGTAAAAAAATATATCTAGACCTAACGTTTGCCAGGGTCCGTTTGGAACTTCGCTGTTTAATAAAGGCTCTTTTGTATTTGAGCTTTTATATTTTAAGCAAGGTTCACAGTTGTTTGACATGTTTTCTATTTCATTGTTAAAGGTAGGCCAAAATACTACTTCTCTAGCCCTAGCTTTACATTTCTCTCTACCTAAGTGATTGTAATGAATCAGATTCAAAATCTGTTTTCTTAATTTATAAGGAATTAACAGCTTATTATTTCTAAACATCAAATCATCTATTATAGTTAACTCAGTAGCCATTGTATAATACTGTTTAATATTATTTGGCACATCATTTTTATTATTTGGCCAACCTTCTTTTATGTATTTTGCTAGTGTTATCATTTCACTATTGTAAAGGCAATTACTTTTATTGATGTGAAATAATGTGTAATTATAATTATACAGATTAATAGAATGAATAAATCACCTGTGTTGTGGGAAAACGTTGTGATGTCCTCGTTCGCGCCAATTGTTCTGCTCTTCCCGCCTCTTTTTTTTTTTGTCCTGTCAATCTCAGTAACGCAGGGTTGCATGGATGTGTGCATTCCCACACTCGGCCGTCCTGACAGGAGCCTCGACCCCGAGGGTCTATGTTCGTTATGCCTGTAGTTGGGCTCGTCGATGCCATAATCGTCGCTACCATAGAGACATTCATCATCGTCGCAAACCCATAGTTTCATCGAGTCTGCTGCCGTGGATGTCTGCTTGGGGCCTTCGCCGTTTCCTACACGACGTACCACATAACGATCGTTCGGTAAACATTTCAATACCTGGTAGGGTCCCAAAAACTTCGAACCTGGTGCTTGCTGTGTCCGACATATGGCAACCATATCTTCCTCTTTGTAAATCGATGCTTCCTTTCTCTTCTTATTGAAGTTGGCTCGGTTCTCTTCCTGCGTCTGCGGATCTTCTCGTGGGCATGACGTCGCAGGTCATTTCGCTCTGCATCAAATGAGGTGATGGATTCGCTTTCCAGTAGATCCACTAACTGCTGATCTTCTTTAAATTGTGCGTCAACCCCAAAAAGGAGTCTAAACGGTGTAGCCGCTGTACTTCGGTGCGCCGTTGTATTAAGAAGACGCTGGGCAACTTCGAGATGGCGATGCCATTCGTCGGGTTCCGGGGCAGATAACTTTGTAAGGAGTGGGATTAATGACCGGTTTACCCTCTCTATTTGGCCGTTAGCTCTCGGGATGCCCGTCGTTGTTAACACGTGACTAATGCCCTCATCACGGCAATATTCCGCGAACTCTTTCGAAGTGAAAGCGGTGCCGCGGTCACTAACAATGCGTCTTGGATTGGTAAATGCATATGCTTATTTCCGTAGCCGCGCGATGACCTCCGCCGCTGTTGTTGACCTAGTCGCATATAACCGAACAAATTTTGTGAAAGTGTCGATGACAGCAAAGATGTGGCGATATGATTTTCTTGTCGATGGCAGCGGACCCAAGTGGTCCACATGGAACGTGTGAAAAGGGTAGTTCCCCTTGTCTATTGGATGGAGGAATCCTTCCGATTTACCGGCTTTCCGCTCTGCTAAGATGCAAGATAAACAGCTTTGAATTACTTTCTTGATTTTCTGTCGTAGACCTGGCATCCAGTAGACATCTTCGATGAGAGCCGCCGTTTTTTCCACAGCGAAGTGTCCCCGCTCATGTGCCTTTCGAATGATTTGAGCCTGCATCGATCTTGGAAGAACGATACGCGATTCATCGCCTACGTCCTTATACAAAAGTCCACGCCAAATGCTATAACTATCATGAACACCGTTCTCAGCTAGTGCAATCTTTTCACTCAATTCGTCGTCTTCGTTGAAGTTTTTTTAGTCTCGTTGTAAGGCTGTCCTCGTCTTTTGTAACCACCAAACATGATCGAGAGTGGATAGCGACTCAGTGCGTCGACGAGCTTCAGACTGCGTCCCGGTCTGTGCTTAATGGCGTATTGAAATTCTTCAAGCAATAGTGCCCAACGTGCCACCCTAACGCACAAATCTCTCTTCAGCATGGTCATCGTGAACGCTTTGCAATCGGTGACTATTTTAAATGGAATGCCCAATAGATACACCCGGAACCTGCGCAATGAACGGACGATAGCCAAAACCTCCAGCTCGTAACTTGGATACTTTTCCTCCGCTTGAGTCGTCTTACCGCTGGCAAAATAGATTGGATGCATCAGTCCGTCTACCTCATCCTCTTGCAATAGTATCGCTCAATACCCGTCTTTAGAGGCGTCCGTGTGAAGTTCAGTCCTAGCTCCTGTTCTATATAGGCTTAGCACTGGTCGGCTGGTCAAGTACGTCTTCAGTTCATCCATAGTATGCACCCCAGCATCATCGAATTTAAAAGTAACAATTGTTCTCAACAGATTGGATAGGGGACGCGCTATTCGTGAATAGTCTGGGATAAACTTTCTAAAGTAGCCTGTTAAGCCTAGGAAGGCTTGTACTTGTCGAACAGTTGTTGGCTTAGGAAAATGCTTTACGGCTTCGATCTTCGTCTCAGACGGCTTCACCATTCCATCTTCAATGATGTGGCCCAAAAACTCGACGCGTCTTGTAAGAAACTGGCATTTCTCCAGATTGATATCGAGTCCTGCTTTCGATGCAATGCCTAACACTCGTTTCAGCCGCTCTAAACCGTCGACGTAGTCTGCATAGATGACTATTAGGTCATCCATGTATGTCAGCACGATTCCCTCACGGATGGCGTCACGAAAAACAGCGTTTATATACCTCTGGAACACCGGTGGGGAGTTGCAGAGTCCAAACGGCACGCGCAAAAACTCAAACTGCCCATCTGGCACAACGAAGGAGGTGTATTTTACGATAGCGTCTTCGACCCTTACATGGAAGAACACATTCCTCAGGTCCAAGGTACTGAACATCTTTGTGCCCTGGAGTCGATCTAGCTGATCTTCGATCAAGGGCAGCGGGAATCGATCCCTAACGATTTTTCTGTTTAAAAGCCTGTAATCGACCCAAAGCCGATGTGAACCATTCTTCTTTTTGGTAAGTACCACGGGACTGGCGTAGTCGGATGAAGATGGTCTAACTATTCCCTGGCTCTCCCACTCCGCAACCTGCTTGTTGACTATATCTCTTTCAATAGGCGACAGTCGCCTCGCCTTTTGATACACGGGCTCATTGTCCTTGAGCACAAGCCTCATGCTAACCGTCGTTTCGATCGTCTTTCTAGGCTGATACTCGGTAACTAGCTTTCGAACCTCCGCCTTCATGTCGTCGTTCTCGATGTGAGACAATCTCACCTCTTCTTTACTATCCTCTTCGCATAAATTGATTTGCATAATCTCAGCTACCTCGTCATCTTCGTCTGCATCAATGCAAATGAGCCCTTTCTTCGCATGAAAGTTCCTTTTCTCCAGAAAATCTGTTCCAATAAGAAGGCAATGGCTTGACAAGCTATCGGAAATAACGCAAATTCGTATTGGAAACAGACGCCCATCTATTTGTATTTTAGTATCAAACTCCCCAATTGCAGTATGTGAGTATGAGCCTAACCCAGCGAAGCGTAGCTTGCATCGCCGTAATGTAGGAGACCCGAGCTTTAGGTACTCATCGTAGCACATGAAAGTTAAGTCGCTAACAGTATCAATTAAGGCATCGATGACACGTTCGCCATTTGCCACGTTTTTGGTATACTGCTTCCGTGCTGTGCACGTCACAATATTTGACTGCTTTGGAACTTCTAGCTTCCGTGGACATTTGGATGCAATGTGACCATACTCATTGCAGCCAAAGCATTTCGGTCCCTGCGTCTTGACTGGACAATTAGCGCTAATATGATCCGGGTGACCACAATTGTAACAAACTCTTTTTGGACCCCCTTTGCTGTCTTCGTGTTTACCTTTCGCCGCTGCCGAACTTTTACCACCGCGTACTGAATTTATCGACCTGACCTCTGTCGATATCAATGATTCTCCTAGCTTGATCCTATCGAATGCTTCTATGAGTGACTCAGTGGAAGAGAATTGCTGCATTCTTGCCTGATTGCACAGGACGCGGTCTGGTATGCCCTCAATTAAATATTCTAACAAATCTTTACTTGGAATAGGTATGCGATTACCAATGACAATTTTATTATGCGCATAATCTCTGAATGACTCACCCTTTCTCCACAGCCTACCTTCAAATTTCTTCCGCTGCTCTATTACGCTACTTTGGGGCTTGTACATACGCTCAATCTCAGTAACCAATGAATCGAATGTCATTTCCAAATGCTCCGCTCTCGAGTGCAACCACTCGAATGCACTCTTCTTTAACTTCATGCCGATTAGTATTTTTGCTTCATCATCGCTGAGATCATGTGCCGTTTTTATGAAAATCAGTTGCCTCTTCCACACGCTCAACATATCTGGTGTCCCGTCGAATACGCCTATTAGATCCGCCAATGCTTTAATGCTCATTCTCGATATGGTGTTTTGCGAAGGTGTTATAGTACGTTGTCTGTCAAACCTGGTGTCATCTTGCTGCCGTCGCATTGAGTCATGCTCAGAATTTCGCCGTCCGCTTCCGCGTAGAAACTCATTTTCACGCTGGGTAAACTCGAGCTCGCTTCTTAATAGCTCTCTCTCACGTCTATCGAGTTCTGCCTCTTGTCGCCGTCTTTTTAGCTCAAGTTCATACTTCTTCCGCATGCATTCCTCGTTGCCTTGGCCTCCTAATTCGTCGTTGTCGCCAGTTGCACCTCCAAAACACGTTGCAATCTTCTTCATGAGCGCCATCGTTGCGCTCACTATTTTCATTCGTCCATTCCCCGGTTGGGTTATGTTCCATCAATCGAGCTATGAGTTCCGCCTTCGTACCGCTGACCGACAGACCAAGCTCTCTAGCTTTTTCCCGCAACCGGGTAGCAGTCCAATCGCAAGCACTCGGCATAATGCTTCTCGTTGACTCAGTTATAATATGGGTAAAATATACACACCAACGTTTTCCCGGACGAGCCCCCAAATGTAAAAGCAATTACTTTTATTGATGTGAAATAATGTGTAATTATTATTATACAGATTAATAGAATGAATAAATCGCCTGTGTTGTGGGAAAACGTTGTGATGTCCTCGTTCGCGCCAATTGTTCTGCTCTTCCCGCCTCATTTATTTTTCTGTCCTGTCAATCTCAGTAACGCAGGGTTGCATGGGTGGGTGCATTCCCACACTATCATTTTGCATTTCTTTTTTAAACTCATCTTTTTTGTCTAAAGATATTGGCAAATTGTTTGTAACAAAGCAAACTTGTAGATTTATCGCTTTTTGTAAGTCTAACTTTTCACTATTGTTATTTTTTAGTCTCGATAAGGATCAGCCAAGAGTAATTCTTTACCAGGCTTATATTGAACTTCAATGTCGTATTTGCAAAAGCACTGCTCCTAGACCATATTTAGAAGCATCTACACATAACTCTACGGGGTTTTTAACATTATAGTATTGCAGGACTGGCGCTTGTGCTAGTATTTTTTTTTCCATAAATTCTTTGTTGCAATTCTCATCCCAGTTCCATACTGCATTTTTTTTATTAATCCTCTTAAACTAACATTTTTAGCTGCTAAATTTGGGACACATTTTGCTACATAGGTCAACATACCTAAAAAGGGTTCCAATTCCGATTTGCTTCCAGGTGGATTCATTTCTTTATTGCTTTAACTTTTTCATCATCAATTTGTATACCTTCATTCGTAAAATAATGACCCATAAATTTTATTTTGTTACAGCCAAGTTTAAATTTTTTTAAATTAAATTTTATGTTTCTCTCTTTGGCTCTTTCGAGTACTTTACTGAAATCAAGATCGTGCTCTTCTATTGTTTTACCATAGACCCGTATGTCATCAACGTAAATATCAACACCTTCTATATCCGAAAAAATGGTTTCAAAACATTGTTGGAATACGTCTGTAGCAGACGAAATACCAAATGGTAAACGCAAATAACGATACCTTCCGAAAGGTGTGATCATGACTAAACAATTTGAGCTTTTATTGCTTAATTTAATTTGATGGAAAGCACGATCTGCGTCTAAGGTACTAAATATTTTTGCACCCGACATTTTTACACTTAAATCGACAAAATATGGAATTTTATGGTGCTGACGAAGTACATACTTATTTAATTCTGTTGAGTCTATACTAGAGACCTGCACGAATAAGTAAAAATATAACAAGTTAGTAATCGCCGAGTATGAATAGAAACGATGCGAATACTTGAATTTTTGTGTGACATCGTTGGCAAAGCATCGTTTTACTTGGTAGCAAACGGATATTTTTTCATATCATCATTTTC